CAAAAATTGCAAAAAAACTACTGTAAATATATTTTTTGTATTTTAGTTTGCACTATATCTAGGCCTAATAAAACGGCTTGTACTTGAATGGGTGATTAAAAAAATTTTATGTACTTGCAAATCCCTCCCATTATATTACAAGTCATTACAGTGGGCTAATCCATTTACGAGGAATAATAAGGGAGATATTTTTATTGCATAAATGATTTCTGGTACAATATCAGAATAAAGTTATTGTTGTTTACAATAAAGTTATATTAGGTTTGCAGATATAGTATATTATCAAATGATTTCTAAGATTCATTGAGCTAGAAAATATACACGATTAGAAAATATAATAGCAACTAACTATCTATATCTATCTTTACAGAGCGGCCTGCATGATGATGCGTTAAAATACTATTTTAATAACCGTATTGTGCGAAAAGCTTACACTTACCATAAGTCAATACCTTTCCAATGCGAATGCGTATGTAAATGTTATTGAGCATTGACATTTGAGAATGAAAATAATTCACACATAGAACACTAAACCGTTTCGAATTGGCCTTCGTTCAATGTGTTTGAAAAGTTAAATACGTGAAAGTATGATAAATTGTCATTAATTCTAAAAGGTACGTGTATAAAAGGGTTACAATTTTCCAAAACAATAAACAATAAAGTAAACACGTCGTGTTGCATGCATATAGGCGACATACGTGTCTGTGTGTGCGTGTGCATGTGTGTGTGTGTGTTTGGTAATCTCACCGAGGCAGCCCCCAGAGCACAGAGACAGCCAAATTAATTCAACAATGTTGCTAATCCTAATTACTATTCGGCATCACAAACATTACCCTCCTCCCCCGAGCCACCCTACACGCACACACCCACACACACACCCAATGTTTTGTAGCTAAAACTGTATTTGCAATATCATTATTATAGTTTTTTTTAAGGTTTAACATACAGTACTACGTTACAACCCGGGGAGGCCTGACAACCTCGACCTCTACCTTCAAATTAAGTGTTTGTTTCAAACCACCTCAATGTATTTTTACGTTAGGGATTATTATTATCACGCCCAAATGGCAAACAAACTAATCTTAGCAATGCTTGTATCCTGAGAAAATGATTAGGATATTACAGACACTTACGACTAGTGATGTGGGCCGGGTAAATACCCAGTGGGTAGGTAAATATAAATTGTGTTTTTACCCGGGTATTTACCCCAGGCCCGGGTAAATATCCAAAAACTGGGTATTTATAATTTTTATTAAAGTTAGAGGAGATTTAGATGTTTTTTTTGCAATTATTACCTTGTAAGGATAGTAAAATGATGATTTAATGTGTTAAACAAAATTATGGTCTCTATACTGGCATTTTACTTCTGGGTATAATCGGCATAAATACCCTGGTCGCATGGTTGCACTGGTCCTGACTACTTGTGATTTTTTATGATAGATAGGCTAGATGAATTTATTTTATTGAAAGTGAAAAAAATTTTGCAAAGTAATAATTATTATTTAGAAAGACAGGAAAATTTAACCTAGTAGTGGCCTATGTGTAAACAACTTAAGAAAATAATTTTAAAATTAAATCTTTAGGATGGCAGGGTTTAATAATATTTTTGTTCTAGATCTTTTGTTGGTATCAATGGTATCAAAATAAAACAAAAACTAATTTCATAAACTTGTGATACAAAACATTTGAATCTATAACACAATAAATCTTTCAAAATTATATTAAGTTAGACCAAAAAAAACATGAGATACGTTTTTTTAGTAGGTTTATCCAAATATATTATTGTTTCCAACTAAGCGGTAACACAGAAAAGTTTAATTAGGCCTACTTAAAAATATTCTATCATTCTGCCTATGTCAATCAGGCCTTATGTCTGTCTAGCCTTCCAAACCATTTACACAATAAAAATTTTGCATCATAAGTACCCAACAATTTCTGGATATTTATAAATTAAAATAATTTTGTTTATGTTATTTAATTGGTTATAAATTTATGAAATTATAAAAATTGAAATAGCCACAGCCTTTTTTAATATATACTATTTTTAGTGAGTTAAATTTAACTGATGTTACTCGATTTAAGACACGAAACCCCATGCTTATTTAGAAACTTTATGTATTATTAAAAAAAAGTGCTAAATCATTAAGCAAGCAAAGCTTCAAGTTACTGTAAAAGGTGTTTATAGACTATCCTAATTTATCATGTAATAACAATAACATATTTATGGGTAAATATACATTAATTTCAATTGATTTCATAAATACCCAAAATACCCAGGTATTTATGGATTTTGGAGTTTTAAACACCCAGGTATTTTTCATCACTACTTACGACTATTAAACAATAAAATCTGGATTGGCTGCGTTTCACAACAGTGTCAATCAATGTAAGCACAAAGGGTGAACATACAGACTTTCTAGTTATCAGAGGGTAGAGTGTTCACCAAGATAATGGGCAATGGAACACATAAAAATGTTGCTATTTATAAGCAATTATAAACAATTATTTAATCCAATCATCGCATTGCCTTCATTCTATGCTAATATTATGTTTATTGTTTCACTAATTGACCCGTTACGATAAATTTGAGTTTTGATTAGAAGAATGAACGTGGATTGCTTTATAGGATACAATATTATCGGACAAACTGTTCCAACCGAAAATTTTCATTTTGTCACTCAATAACACCATACGCGCGAAGAAATAAATCGATCTAAAACCTAAAAATATACGCTTATAGGACTAATTGAGAAAGTTTTTTTTTTGTTACAGGCCGTTGCTAGAAATAACAATTACGTGTTATAACACTGTATAACAAATAACATGCAAAATACAAAGAACTGTTACAAAGAAAAAGTATCTTTTAAGGATTAGGCTTATTTTATAGGCAAACTTTATATAGGTTTGTTTTCACATCATTATGTTATGGACTAAGGAGTACGTCATAATTGTAAGGACCTACTAGCATAACTATTTGTAGGTACTTGCTATATTCTTTACTAGTTTTTAATATTAAATACACTTTAATTAAACAAATTTTAGTACATTGGGTTTTGGAAGTTGTAAATTGTTTCTAAACTAGTTGTTTTAAATCAATCAAATTACAATGTGTGTGTGCTTGGCGATTAATATAGGCTAAACAATACGTCAAGTACGGATCGATATACACGGTACCACCTTTTTATCAGAATTAGGCCTACTTATATGTTATATGAAAATGTTTTCTTCAATTGACCAAGAATCCATGCAAAAGATAACGAGGGCTTTGAAATTAGATTTGGCGTGTTTGCCAAAGTCGTTCTCCTTCAGTTCGCGCCTCCTTGATTAGCGCGGGGAAATGCAGGAGGTGTTGGGGAGAAATGAACACCATTAAAATGTCATTACTCCTTGGAGTGTAGCACCGGAAGCAAACCACCGTCTTCCGGCGGCGTTGCTTAACAAGACAGCATCTTCTGCAAGTGCAACCCACAGCCGATGCACTTTCCGGTGCACTTACTGCCAAATGGACGTCACATGTCCCCGAAGATATATTGACCTTCCCTGGTGTTTATTTTTATTTTTTGGTGTTTTATGATTATATATTATTTAATAACTTAATTCTTTAAGAAGAAAATTGTTCTCAATTAATGAAATTTTCGTTATGGAAGTTATAAGTAACACGTCAAGTAGAATACGAAATTAATATTTTCTTTGTTTAATTTAGGCCTTAAGTATGTCCGTTACCATTACGTATAATACCACCGATTTGAGTGATTAAAAAGTTAAGCCGATCAAAAGTAATTACAGTATTGTGTTGCTAAACGAAATGGAGCAAGAAATACACGAAAAACATGTATAAGGTGTTCTTTCCTTAATACTATACATACACCCAAATGTTGATAGAATGTTCGTACAGAAACAGTAAAGAGGTCCCAAATTATAATTTGTTAATTAAATAAATCAAAATAATCAATAAATTCATTATTTACGTATCAATATCAAGTGAAATTAGTATAAAAAGTGTAGGCCCACCCCACTCGTCTTTTCAAATGTTAAATTATAGGCTAAGGTAAAGTAGTAGGTATTAATTGTATTAACACTACTATCACCACATAAATACATGTACCATAATTTTTCTATTTTAAATTATAAAAAAACATTTTTTGACAGTTTAATAATTAATGTTAACCTATTGGATATACTTGTATTAAATTAATTTGATTTTAAAATGAATCGTAACCATTAAATGTTTCTTTCGAATCATGGCTTATAAGTTACAAATTACCGACAGTGTAACCCGTCGTAAAATATATATTGTTTAAAAAGTTAGATTGTGACAAAGTTCTAAACCCGAATTAGTATGTTAAAAATAATATAATACCCACGTATGCGTTAATATTTAACTCCAGAATGGAAGTCATATTTATTTTATGTTTAACTAACAATAATCAAAGATTACTACTGTATGTTGTTAAGCGTTCGACGGTCTACAGAACGGCGCCGACACAAACGCAAGTCAAGTATTAACATCAACATTAACGAAAGTATAAAGCGGAAACATTAACAATTACGGTACAAACAAGCACGGCTCGGCTCCGCTTATAGCCGCCACTCATTATTATATTGCTCAATAAAGAGAAACCCGCTAAATCATCCGTTAATGGCGACCGTTAATGTGTCTATTATTGAGAGTCCTGTAATCGAGTTGCACAAGATAAAAGTGTGTTCCAGGAAACTGATCACCCCTCTATGACGTTCGCGGTACACCTGAGTTTAATCGTTTCTTTTTTGTCCTAAAAATGCAGATTCTTGGGAATCTTTCGAATGTGAGAAGAAGGGAATGTTTTTTTTACGTTAATGATTCTTTAGCATTTACTGTAATATTGAAATCAATGTAGACTAAATTATTTAAATCTGATTTAGAGTTTAAACGTAGCCTAAATTCTTTAGCCAAGCCGCCGCTAAGAACACTAGATTCTTTTGTTTACATTAGCAGACAACAACAAGACATCGCCACTGACCTTTGTTGACTCCAGGAGTAGACCGTCGGATCACCGGCTTGTCCACCCTCCCATTGACGGGCTTGTCGACGCCGTTGGAAGACGGCTCTCGGAAGGGCCTCTGGGGAGAGCGACTGCGGACTGTCAGGTTGAGAGGCTCGTCACCCTGCACCACGGGGGCGTCGCCCCGGGTCCAGCCTAGGATGTCGGTGATCATGTGAGGAGTAGGCTGCTTGGGAGGGTTGGCATATACGTGAGGATGCCACGACAGGTACCTGACTTTGTGAGGGTGGTTGTTGTTGTTCATGGTACCATCCTCCTGGACCGGGACCGGGGAGTCCATCACCAACATCGGACACTTCACGTCACTCGCGGTAAACACATGCACATGACGAGATTGAGGTTAGGTGAGAGTGTTAAGTTGCGCGCGCAACACTATGACAAAGTGGCGGGAGAGCGAGCCGAGCCGAGCGCCGCGGTAGACAGACGGGCACTGAACAGAAGTGATTACTCCCCGCAGTGTTTCACTAAATGGCCGCTAGGAAGCACTGTAACACATCATCATCCTATGCTATGCTTGTTGATAGGCTATAATGGCTCGGGCTAAATTACGACTCCTACTACGCGAGCTGAAAACATTGCTTCCACCCTTCCCCCCCCCTACCTTTCAACCGCCCGCCGCGCTTCTAAACAAATTATGCGTTCGATTATTAATACGTTTGTTCGACAAATCGTTTATTTGTGTTTACCTCTTTATACATTATTTTACATAGTCATTACGCGCTTAATCCGCGTCTCGTATTAAATAATTGTTTGCTATCCGACTGAAAATATTAGTTGCTCTAATAAACGCAATTTAATTACGGGTTTACTCTATTAATTTGTTCCATTACTGTCATTGTTTTACATTAAACTTTACAAATAACGTTTTGCTTATTGGTGTGCACTCTATCAATTAATACGTAATCTGATAACATAGGTTAAATTGTAGCGCGCTACTTTATAATTATGTAAAATAGCTAGTAACAGATTATTTAACAAGCCAATGCTCTAAATTTAACGTACAGTATTGTTATTTGTGACAAACAAAGTTATAACTGAATAACAAATTTTACTACATGTACTGAAATATGGTAATGTTTAAAGATGTTTCTTATTTATGTAGTACATAAGGTCATCCAGTGGTCGAAAAAATCGACAAAAGATATGTGATGTACATACTTTTCTATTTCCCCCCTACGCTGTAAATAAAACACGTGATTGAAATTTCTTTAATTTGTTTTGATTTCTGTTTATGTTTTGTTAAATATTTCGTCACAAGCATGGCAACCCATAAGGCCCATGTTAATTTTTTTAAATTTTAAATTCATGTTTGTGTTTATTTTTTAGCCAATTTTAATTTAAAAAGGTATTCTGCACATCAACAAGCAAATGTCTAACAGTATGCGTAGATTTTCTCTGCGATGCACACGAGCTGATAAACATGCTTGCCTATTGTAGATAGATACATTAAAATTAATCTAATATTTATATAAATATTTGAATACTACAGTATATTATATTAAATACTATATTACTCTCAGCGTAATGTATAAGCTTCGCTAAACTGAAAGCATTGTGGAATTAATATTCACGTGTGTTTATACACTGAAGGAAGCAGAATCATCATTGATGTGACCGTAGTTGCTGGATTGTTGATTGTTGGATGTTGGATGTTGGAGGGATGATCCCCTTAGTCAATTACTCACCACCCCTCCATCGCATCGCTGCGTGCGGAAATTATTTCTTTCTTGCGCTAAATATTTAAATATCATTCACAACTGAAACATCAACATCTCCCATTTAATCGCTCAAAACACGATGGAAACGCTCCTTTGTTTGCCGTGATTAATTCTGCTCTTTAAAACTTCCCCTCTTTAATAATTTGCCGCCATTTGCAAAAGCTAATTTATTCACGATGATCTTTTTTCCTTCCCTAAGTTTCGTCAGGTGTATAAATTAGTGATTTTATTCGCCGGCTATTATTTGTTTGAAGTAAGTGCTTTGAACCTATCTACATAGAACTGCTTGCAGAACTTACACGACCTTTTTATTAGTTTTCTGAACATTGTCCAATAAACAGTAAGTTAGTAACCATTCCAAAGTTTAATCATTAATTTCAAAGAAATTATTTAAAATAAATTTTATTCACCGTAGGCTAATACAGCCTACAAAATAAAACCTGTTATTGGATTGTTTTAGATATACAGTATTTAAGTAGCGACTATAGTTTATAAATGAACTGGGAATCCAAGCAATTTATTCCAATCCCATCAGACCAATTAACAGGAAAATCAGAGTATTTTGATACGATTATTTTGGTTAATATGTAATGCATACTGACTCTTGCTTAATCATTTTAATACATCAAAGTTAATTCCGGGGATTAAATCGGTCACTAAACAATTACATTACTCCTGTGCATGTCTAACTTAGAATTATTACCACCGTTAGGGACCTGATCCAGGATTATCAATCAAAATGAGAGTGTACATGTTTATAAAAAGCAATAATAAACTATGAAAGATTTATTAATTGGTTTATCACCAAGGTTGTTGGAATGACCGAGATAACTTGACGCAGTTACGAGTACTGATTGATGATTCCACCCTGCAATAGGGCGGGGAGTGCAGCTCTGTCGAATTGTAACGTTTGATAGCGTGGATAATGCCTTCCCCCCGCCAACCCCCCACCCCTCGCCTACCTACAATACAATAAATCAATTACTGGATGACCTGTGTCTGTGTATTAAACATCCCCCGCCACCCCATTGTTGGTGTGATTGTCTGAGTAAAGAGCTTTGTCCCGTACACGCGCTCATCGCCATTTACCTCACTAAATATGCATCGTTTATCTCATCAAACTGTTTCACTTTTTTGTAAAGAAGTTTAATTGGTTAGTTAACTATCAGCCTAATACATATATGGTACAGTATTATGTATGTAAAAGTCGCAGTAAAACTAATTGACAAGATCGAATAAAGACCATTATGTTTTAGCGAATTTCCCTATAGGGAAGTAGCTATTACCGTAGGTCTCATGGTAAGACTTAGGCCCGGGACCGATTTACTTTTTCATTTTAATGTCCCCAGAGGCCAAAAACACCATTCGTTCAAATTTTTATATATGTATATATATATATAATCTATATAATATCTATATAATCTATATATATATATAGATTTATATATATATATATGTGTCCGTGAACACGATAACTTGAGTAATTTTTATCCGATTTTGATGAAATTTGGTTTGAAGGTGTAAGGCGGGATAAACTTGAATGAGTTCGCGATCCAGCATGATCGGACCATGGGAACAGGGTTTTATGGGGGCTTTTATGGGGTAAAAATTGGTTTTTCTCACTTCTTACCCTCAAAACACAAAATTTCCCAATTTTTCTCTAAACCTTCTTAAAGAGCTTAAAAAAACAAACAATTCAGTATATCAAAGTGTTTTTGTACGGTTATTGGTTACGGAGAAAACTAAAAAAATGGTAAATATAAAATTCCCATGTTATTCTTATGGAGAATATTGTAAAATGTTGTAGTTTGCTTGTTTATGGATATATTTTGATCAAACTTGGCAAATTTATTTATTTTATAGTAAGCTATCAATATTTTACTAAAAACACACTACTTTATTATTAGTTTCCTTGTAGCAGCAAACCTAGGTACTCGTTAAACCTAATGTTATTTAAATAGATAAATTGAAAATCAATTCGGCCAAATGGAAATTCGCTTAGACGGCAGGTTTGCTGCGGCGGGGGTATTTGTCTATAACCACGCGTTTTCATAAAAAAATTAACATGTTTTTACCACTAGTATGAATCTAAAATATATGAAATTAGGGAATAGTTCATTAAGATGACTATCTAACCTAGATGTTGATTCAGACTTTATTACCATAACTTGGTTTTGGTTTTGATGCAACACTTTTCATTCATGATCATAAAGAACAGGATTTTGCAAACTAAATAAATACCCTTATTGGATTTATCAAACCTAACTTGCATACTTCTGTTTAAATCATGCTTAACTACTGTATGCATCAGCTTATGTTAGATCCATTCAGAGTGAGCATGAGCGATCAGCGGCGATATATCGTCCTCATTGCACCGCTCGTCATATCTCCCAGGGTATATGTGTTGGACGTATACGATATCCTGATACACAGTGACACACCGACGTTGCAGTATCTAGCCGAGAGTGAGCGATCAGCGGCGATATATCGTCCTCATTACACCGCTCGTCATATCTCCCCGTGTATATGTGTTGGACGTATACGATATCCTGATACACAGTGACATACACACGTTGTAGTATCTAGCCGAGGGTGAGCGATCAGCGGCGATATATCGTCCTCATTACACCGCTCGTAATATCTCCCAGTGTATATGTGTTGGACGTATACGATATCCTGATACACAGTGACACACCGACGTTGCAGTATCTAGCCGAGAGTGAGCGATCAGCGGCGATATATCGTCCTCATTACACCGCTCGTCATATCTCCCAGTGTATATGTGTTGGACGAATACGATATCCTGATACACAGTGACACACCGACGTTGCAGTATCTAGCCGAGAGTGAGCGATCAGCGGCGATATATCGTCCTCATTACACCGCTCGTCATATCTACCAGTGTATATGTGTTGGACATATACGATATCCTGATACACAGTGACACACCGACGTTGCAGTATCTAGCCGAGAGTGAGCGATCAGCGGCGATATATCGTCCTCATTACACCGCTCGTCATATCTACCAGTGTATATGTGTTGGACTATACGACATCCTGATACACAGTGACACACCACCGTTGCAGTATCTAGCCGAGAGTGAGCGATCAGCGGCGATATATCGTCCTCATTACACCGCTCGTCATATCTCCCAGTGTATATGTGTTGGACCTATACAATATCCTGATACACAGTGACACACTGACGTTGCAGTATCTAGCCGACAGTGAGCGATCAGCGGCGATATATCGTCCTCATTACACCGCTCGTCATATCTCCCAGTGTATATGTGTTGGACGTATACAATATCCTGATACACAGTGACACACTGACGTTGCAGTATCTAGCCGACAGTGAGCGATCAGCGGCGATATATCGTCCTCATTACACCGCTCGTCATATCTCCCAGTGTATATGTGTTGGAAGTATACAATATCCTGATACACAGTGACACACTGACGTTGCAGGATCTAACCGACAGTGAGCGATCAGCGGCGATATATCGTCCTCATTACACCACTCGTCATATCTCTCAGTGTATATTTGTTGGACGTATACGATATCCTGAAACACAGTAACACACTGACGTTGCAGGATCTAACCGACAGTGAGCGATCAGCGGCGATATATCGTCCTCATTACACCGCTCGTCATATCTCCCAATGTATATGAGTTGAACGTATACGATATCCTGAAACACAGTA